AGGGAGAGGGGAGAGTTTCACAGAGAAGGGGAGGCTGGGTGGGAGAATTGACATGGGGCCACTGAGGGCACAGAGGAGGTGCAGGTGGCATAGAAAGGAAGCAGGAAGATGGTGCCAGAGGTTGATGGAACCTGAACCTGAGAAGCTGAGGGAGGCAGACAAGAAGGTGCTGGAAGCAGAGCCTGAGACAGAGGCCAGGGAAGAAGAGCCTGAGGCTTTGGGAGCCATTTTATCTTTCTTTATTTGCCTCAGTTAATCTTAAAATCTTATTTTGCAGAGAGGCAATTTTAGGCTCCTGATAACATGTGGAAGTCTCAAAATACCAGTCAAGATAGGCATTCCATTCCGTTTTAGAAAGTTTGGAGCTATCATAGTTCAATTTGATTTTCAGAAAATTGGGGATTTCCAAAGTTCCCCATAACGGCCATTGATATTCTAAATTGCCTTTGGTCAGGCCAATCCATTTGGTTAGACATGCGCATGAGGAAGGACCACGGTTTTTAAATATGACATCAGCTGCAGTCCCTGTAGGGCAGGTGGGGCACCCTCAAAATATTTAGATAACTGGGATCTCCTTTCTCAGAGATTTTTCTCTAGAGTAAAAGAATACTTTTTAAACAGCTCAAACAGCTTGAAATTCAAACAGCTCAACTTGCAGGCTTTTCTAAGGGAGCAGCTTGGTCCCGGAGGAGCCAGGCTGAAGGCTTCTCTTTCAGTTCCCACAGAACAGCCCCTATTTCAAAGTGTTAGACCTTCGCGGTCTCCTAGGAGTTTCGACTCGCCCAGGAAACAACAAGAGTCGGAAGCCGATGCAAAACGCAAGAGGTTTATTGAAGGCCGGTGCACCGGGGTTCCTTGGTCCTCACGCAGGAGGTCGAAGAAGGAACCCTTTTGGGCGCGAATATGTCAGTTTTATAGGTTCCCACTGCCCCGTATGTAAATTATAGATTTGGTTGTGTTCTCCTGCTGATTGGTCCCAGCTTAGGCTCGGACCAGAGAGGGAACTTGTCCCTAGCTGCCTGATTGGTCTTTGACAGACACCTTTTTTACATTTTGTTATCTCCCTCCTTCTC